AATTATTTTTCAAATTTTTGTTTTTCATTATTTAATTGGTCCATTTCTTTTTCATGTTTCATTTTTTAATATTCAATCTTTTATCTATCATTTACTTACTTTAAAAGTAACATTTATTTATCTTCAATCTAATTAATAAACTTATTTTATTCTTATATATTTTATTAAATTTCCTAAGTTATATAATTATCCTATCCTCTAAGTTACTCTTATTAAAAAGCATTTTATATATTCTATTTTCTATCTTCATTTTCTTTGAGTGTTTAATTTTATTTTTAGATTTAATTATTTATGATAGTAATCAACTCAGTTTTCATTTAATCTTAAGTTTCAATATTTTTTATTATCTATAATTTTTAGTTTAGATTTGATATAAAAATTGAAATAGCATTGTATTACGATTAAAATAGAATTAACAATGATTATTTTTTTTCTTCTAATTATTTTAAATTTACTTAAACTTAGTTTTGTTCCAATTAATCTACTTTTTTTGAATATTCTAGCAAATACTTATTTTAAATTTCTATTTCTAATTATTTTTTAAGGTCTTCTTCAAAAGTTTCTAATTATATTTTAATTTCTTACTCTCTTTACTATTGCTCCCTTTATTTATATTATTCAATATATTATTATTAATTTTATTCTATCTATTTTTTAAATTAATTCAGTTGATTGTAAAACTATATTGATTACTAGATTTACATTTCAGCTAACTATTTTGTATCTTATTCTTATTATTGAGCCTTTTATTGTTGTGCAATTAATTCTTATTATTTTTATTTTATTTAATCTTCAAATTCTAATTTCTATTATTAGTAAATCTTTTTTAATTCATCATCAAGTTCTTTTGCTTTCTAGTTTTCAATTTATCTTTTCATTTATTACATTTCTAGTAATTTCTTATATTCAAATTATTAAATTTTTATTCTATATTCTTCTTCCATATTCTTTTTTAACTCTAATTAAATCTTTTATGTTTCCTCTTATCTTTTTTTTTCTTATTCTTCCTTTTCTTATTTTTATTTTAGTTCTAATAACTATTATTATCTGTTTCTCTCTTATTCCTCCTTTTCTTATTTTTATCTTTTTTCTTATTCTTCCTTTTCTTATTTTTATTTCAGTTTTAATAACTCCTATTATTATTTAATTGTTTCTTATTCTTCTTTTTAATTCTAAAATTTTGATTATTATAAAAACTAATTTTATTATTTTAAAAATTATTAAGGTTATATTGGTTAATCAATAAATTACATCTTATTTAAAGGTTATGGTTTTACAGTAGAAAATAAGAATGGTTTTTATGAGAATTAATTTTGCATAAATTTATTATTTAATTAAAATGATTAGTGATTTTAAATTCTTTGGTTATAAGCTGTCAATATATCTTTTAATTGAATTCTTTGAATTGATTTTTTTTGAGCATCTTTGAAATCAAATCTTTTTCTTCTTGTTTTATCTTTTTATTATTTTAAATTACGGATTCAATCTCTTCTTAAGTGATTGATAAAATATTTTTATAAACTTTCTTTTAATCATTACCTAAAATTATAAATTAATGTTACCTTAGAAAAATGTTTCTTGTGTTAACATTTCATACCAAATGACTCCCAAAGACCAAATATCAACTGATTTGTTATAAAAAGTGTTTTAATTTGCTAATACCTCTGGTGCAATATAACATGTTGATCCAATAAAACCAGTTGACATCAACTTATTTGAGGTTTCTTTAACTAATCAATTTAACAATTTTTTCATTGTTTGGTTTATTAATATATACAAAATTTTCTGGTTTTAAATCTCTGTGAAAAAATCCCAATTCATGAAGTTCAACACAAGGGCCGATGGGATAAGGATAAGGGTAAATTGGATAAGGATAAGGGTAAATGTAAATGGGATAAGCCAAGGATAAGGATAGTAAGGATAAGGATAACAAGGATAAGGACAAGGATAATAAGGATAGCAAGGATAAGGACAAGGATAAGGATAGTAAGGATAAGGTCAAGGCTAAGGTTAGGGCCAAGGTCAAGGATAAAAACCGTAAGGACCTCCTCCTTAATCAAAAGGATAATGGAATCAAGATTCAGAATAATAAGAATAATGTGTAATTGTAAAAGCGCAGTATAATTAGCCAGAAATATTAGTGCTATTGTAAATAATGAGAACTTATATAAAATTGTATTTTCATAATTTGATTGTATAAAAATGGTTTTTATGCTTAATGTCTAATTGTAATAACACTAAAAAATCTTAGGTGAGAGTAATTTTATTTTGCAAATCTCAAATGACCGAAAAATAGCCAATATTTAAAAGATTATACTAAAGCTGCTAAATCAATATTTAAAAGATTATACTAAAGCTGCTAATATACTTGTTTATGTAAATTTTATTTATGTTGAAAAAACCAAGTGCAATATTTTAGATTTAAAATACATTTGTTTGATATTATAAATAATAGAAAACTAAAAATGCTGATTGAAATTTAAAATTTTATTGTAGCTGATATGTAACTTATACACAAATTATATAATTATTAAAAAAAAAAAATGTATGCAGACTAATTTAATTACGAATCAACAGCTATCTTTTTGTGTGCATGATAAATATATTATATAAAATATAGAATATCTAAAATTACATCAATTACATATAATAAAATTTTTGTGGTCAATATAATCTAAGTTTTCAACAACAATTTGATTCTTTTGTATTTATTAATTATATTATGTTTATATTTTAACACAATTTAATTTATAACGAAGTTTGATGACTTTAAAATAGTTGAAAGGAATTACAAGAAGACATGCTGCAATATTTTCTTTTAATTATGGCTATCGTTTCGCTTTGTTTTTAATCTTTAATTTAGCTACAGAACCAAAAAAAAATGATTATTTATAATTTAGTATGTCTCATAAATTACCCAATATTTAACAATATCTATAGTTTTATATGCCTTAATATCTATTATTATGATCAAAGAGGCTTTTATAAAAGCTTAAATATGTTTTGTACTAACTGTACTCTCAGCTATAATAGGCGATATTCAAACCTATGTTTGAGGCCTTGTAAAGATGAAGGGCATCTTACCATTACCTGATTAGACCCTAAAGCTTGGAATGTATGCAATCATATAAATTTATATGTCTATATTTAGTTTACACAATCTTAGTGCTATTTATGTCAACTAATTTAATCCAGATGCTATTTTTGTTTCTTTTAATTTTCTTAACGTAATGAAGAATCTGCTGATATTCAAATTGTTACTTAATATAGATAAAACAATAAGACAATAATAATAGAAATAATATATATTCTTTAATGAAAAATAAAAATGTAAATAAATAGTTTTACCTAAATAAAAGCTTTAAACAACTCTCTGAATAATTTAAATAAATTGAATACGCCATAATGAAGAAATTGAAAATATTTTTTTGAATTGCTTTAAAATAGTTATCAATAGAAGTCTTATTAGAATTGGATATGATATCTTAAAATTCTTGTAATGTTATTTGATAACAATAAAGAATCAGCTCTTAAGACACTTTAATAACCCTTATGATTATGAGGGCGGGTCATATTAATCTTTTGTGAGATTTTTTAGATTTTAATGGTTAAAAGTGCAAACAAATTCTAAAAACTAGTTTAAATTGTTCAAATATTATTTGTTTTTATTTATAGACTTAACCTATTTCCTTAAATCCATAATCTACTTTTCTTATTACAAAGTTCTTAATGAATTGGCTGTGTTTTAATCAAATCATGCCAATTCTTCTTCATATAATCGATTTATTATCTGTATGACTGCCATTTATTTTATTATTTTTAAAAGAAAGACCATATAATTCATTAAAAATATTTATAACAGAATTTTAATAATTTCAGTATTAGTAAATAATTAATTTACATGAGAAACCTTTAAATAAACATTCCCTTTATATAATAAATAAGACAAAAAAAATGGTTTCTGAAATTAGTAGATATGATAGTAAACTTATAACCAATAATTACTTCTTATTTTTAAATAAATATGAGAGAAATACGAATATTAACTTGGCAATTTATGCATTAGATTAAAATTTAGAAAATAAAACATTGGTGATATTGGGAACGTCAATTGACTTTCGAAATTCATTTTAAGTCTAAATTATTTAATTTTAATTATAAAGATATATTTCTCACGCAGCGTCCTTAATAGGCTTAAATAGTTGTTTAATAATAATTAAAATTTATTGGATGAATGAATTAAAAAATGTTTGATTAAATTAATTGTTGTATTTTTATTACAAAATATAAATTATACTTTTTAAATTAAATTTAAATGGATTATACTAAAAGAGATGAACATACCCACAGAAGATGCTCCTCATCCTTGGTTGTATTGAAGGGCTTGGCCAAAAGTTTAGTGAACTCTGATTTAGTGGCTTGTTAAAAAAAATGAAGTTTAATTTTTTGGCACTAATTCACAATAGATATTCTGACTTGGTTTTGATTTTGAACAGAGTTTTACAATGCAGCTATGCCAACAAAATAAATCTCCCTTCAAGTTCTAAACGGATAATTCAAGTTAGGGAATTGCCTATCCTCTTGATCATAATGCTATACAATAAACCTTTTGTTTTATATGTCATAAAAACATAAGAACAAACTAAATTGTGAACCATTCTGAAGTAGGGAATTCATATTATTATTCACTCTTTTGCCTTGCTTAATTAAATATTACTTTAACTTTACATGATATTTTTAATTTTTTAATTAATATTCTATTTAAACTTATTTCAGAAATTAACTTTCCTATTCTAATTTTAATTGAGGAGTTAATCATTTTGTTTAAGTTTTCTAAATTATTCACTTAATCATTGAAATATAATATTCTTTTTATTCATTTTCCAAAAAAAAGTTTTTATTCAATGATAATTTAATTAAGTAATTTACAAAAAAATTATGCTTGTATTATATTTCAACTCATTATAAAAATAATCATACATATTATTAAATGTATTTTCAAAATTACTAAGAAAATAATATTCATAAAAAACTCTGATATGAAAGGTAATTTTTACACATAAGAATTAATAATAAGATAAAGAATACATATATTAGAATATTTAGTATAATTTAAATAATTACTATTTATTTCAATGGTTAATCCATACATAGATAAGTCTTTTTTGTTTTATTCATATTACTACTAGGATATCCATTTGGATTTAATTTATATTATAATAATTATCCTGAAAAACTCAAAAAAAGATTTGTCTCCGAAAGTTAGATGAGATGTAATATTATGTGTAATCTTAAATAAACATTACATAAATATTGGTATCATTTTTAGGTAAGACTTAAATAAAGAAATTAGTGTATGTGTAAAAATTTTTTAAACCTTCTAAGCCTTTATTCATACATTCAAGCGAAAAGGTATAATTACTTCCAGCATTTTCCATATGAGTTAAGTTAACTTATAAAGATGTAATCTAAATTTTATAAGCAATAATATCTTAATCAAAAGAAAATAATTCCTTATCAGAATTTAAATATAATAAGGAATTACTTGTCTGATTTAACTAATATTAATAAAAATTTCTGCATATTTTTCTTTAATTATTATTTTATCAATAAACTAATAAATTATAAATTGATTATTTAAGAGTATATTTTGAAAGGATGATTCACCTTAATCATTCTCTGTGTTTATTATGTTATTATCACATCCAAATAAAAGTAAGCAGGAAATGTAAAAATTATTACTAAAAGGATAATTTTATGAATTTTATAAATATATTTAATCACATTATGAATTAGTTATAAAATAATTAGTAAAATTAGTTTTTTAATAAAATTGACCATCTGAAGATATAAATAATTAGAAAATCTCTTGAGAAGTAATTGCATAAATATTTGGACTTATTGTAATTGTGATATCAAAATCGACAAAATAGTTATTTAAGCTACTTTAATTAAAAAAAGATAATGAAAATAAAGATAGTATTGAATAATTTTTAAAATATTATGCATATACTATAAAAGCATTTGTTCCATTTATAATGATTATATTTTAGTTTTTGTAGGTGCAATTGCTTCTATTTAATAAGTAATTATTGATTATTCATCTATTAATTGAATTAAAAAGAATTCATTATTATAATAGCAATCTATCAAAATAGAAAAATCTTTAGACAAAAGGATGTTATAACAATTAAATGAAGAATCAATTGGCACATATTAGCCAATTTATTGAATCCTTTAATTCTTCCACTCATATATTATTACTTCATTGTTATTAGTCAAAGTACCAAAATGTGTAGTATTTGATGACATTGATTTAAATTCTATAAATATATACTTTATAATATACAATTTCCTTTTATTTAGGATATTTTTTTGCATTGATTGATTAATTATACATTTGGAACTTAAGGATGCATTTTGCACATTAATTAAGTTTCACTTAGAAAACTTTCCAAATAGTATGAATAAAATTCACCAACTGTTGGGTACAAAGAAATATCTTATACTCTGGTGTATTAATTCAAACAAAATGCCCAAATCCCATAGATTTCTAAGAGTATGATAATCATTTAATGTTAAATTAATAATGAATATATTTTATATATATATAGTTATTTCACAATAAAATTTAAAAATAAAATATTTGTTTTTTACCCATCCTCATTTCTTTTAATATTACAGTTAAATTTATAAAAAATAAGAGTAAGTTAAGTAGATAATTTATTTTTAATTAGAGATGATAAACATAATTTTGTTCATAACTCTCTCAAATATTGCTAATTTTAAATATTGAGATCAATTTGAATTACATGATAAATAATTTATTGATCAATTTGTTTTATTCCAATTAATTAATATATGAATTATATTATTCATTAACCAAAGACCGCTAAAAAATAAAAAACCTTCTAAAGTGGTTTTGAAACAGGATTAACCCAAACAAGACTCTTGACAATTAAAAAATAAAAATTAACTACTGCAATCCAGAAGGAAATTTATTAATTTAATTTTGATTTGTTAAGAAATGATTAGTTTGATTAATAATTTATATTATTATAAAATTAAAAACAGAAAAATAACAAGAAATAATAATTATTATTTTCGGATAAAATATTGAATAGCTATTATAATAAATCATGGATATCATTTATAATGTTAGTAGATATATAAAATGAGAAAAGAAACTTTGAGTAAGTGAGATGGATAGAATAGGATTTGGCCTTTTAGTACGTAGTTTTTGGAGGAGAACAATTTGCTGAATCAATTGATAAATATAGAGCTTCTTGAATCGATAAACTTTTTGAGAAATTCAATCCTCAATCATAGAAAATCTTTGGTTGATAGAAAGGATATGAGATATTTGAAACTATTTATAATCATACTTCAGAAAAAATATTATAGCAGTTGTAAATCAATAGTATGCTATGGGTATTGAAGCTCATTGGAGATATACTACTGAGACTTAAATTAATGCACAGCCTATAAATCCAATTTGAGATTTAGAGGCTCTTAATGAAGATTTAGTAGTAAATGATTTTTTAAGATAATTCACAGTGAGCCAGCATCTACAGAGCCTATATCACTTAATATTAGAAGGAAATATTTGAATAGGATAAATAATATCCAAACATATTTGATGATCATAATGATCCTCATTAATTCCTGCAGATATTCCATTTGAAGGAGGCTATGAACATCATCATCCAAACAGCTAAATCTGATGAAAGATAAAGATAACCAGGAAAAATAAGCTAAACATTTGAGATAATAGTTTATTGAAAATTTTTAAAACCTCTCTGTGCACAACTCAAACAATAAATTTTATAATATTAAAAATATAAATAAAATAAATTGAAATTTGAACTACCATCATTCACAATAAATAAAACAACAAAATAAGTCACAATTAAAACTTAATCCTGTTACTAATTTTAATAAAAATTTTATTCATTTCCGTTATTAAATTATTTTTTTCATTATATAGATTCATACATCTATTGTTCATCAAACAAAATATGCTACCTCCGCTACTTCTTTAATAATATTATAACAATAGATTTTATTATTCTTGTCTATATCATTTTATTTCCTTATTCATATTTTGCTTTTAATTTATAATCAATTCAATTTCTTTCAATAATGATTTTTAAGCTCTGACCATCTTATATCTATAGTATTTTGTAATTTATTTAATAGGCCAACCAATTTCTAAACAAATTCTTTCGCTTATATTTGAAGTGTAATAAATTAACTAGCTTTTATAATTTAACAATTGTTTAAACTTTCAAAATCCTTATAGACAAAGATATAGTATAATGAGTAAAAAAGAGAGTAATAATAATGATGTAATTGATTATGACGATAATAAACTTAAAATATCATCAATAGCTAGAGGAACTAAAAGAAAGCCATCAAATGTTTAATTACTTAAATAAATAGAAGCCAAATCATGTACTTTAAATCCCAAACCAAGACAATTGAGGCCATCTTTTAATGTAATGAAGAAAAAGAAATCTAGTAAAAAATCTTTAATAGATAAATTTGTTGATATTCAACAATAAAATCAATAATTGAAAAAGATCTTGAAAAAAGTAATTATTCTGATAAATTAAATTGATTAAGGGAAAAAAGAGATTTTGACAGATATTAATCTTTAAAATGCTCTTTATTATCTATTAAAATAAAGATGCTCATTTCTTTGCAAGATGAGTATTTTAACAATAAAACCAAGATCTAACAGATGGATACTTGTAAGTAGTTTTAATATTATTAGATTTAAAATAAATTTCTAGAGTTCTTGAGAAAGAAGAATTTTCTTATTAACAAAGGAAAGTTTAACCGAATTTAATGGAGTTAAGAAGAAAATTAATGTACACTTAAATGTATTTAGAAAAATATAAATATGTTCAATAACATTTAGTAAATTTACTAGCATAAAGACGATTTAGAGATGAAAAAAATCGATCTTAATAGTACAAGAAATAAATATAGGGGTAAAAACTTTTAGAGCACCAAAAGTGAATTAAATTCTTCTGAAATGATAAATCTATAATTGTAATATAAACAATTATCAATAATTTTTGAATTGCATATTCAAGTCTGATGTCATCATTTAGATGAGTTTAAAGAGCGAATGTTTCATCTTCCTTTTATATCTAAATTGATTTATCACATTCTGCAATAAGAAATCTATAATAGTTAAAGACATAACCTCATTTAACTCTTATCAAAAGTACATTAAAATATTCCATTTTCAGCAGCAATAGAACCAGGTTCAGATATAGTATTAATTTATTAAAAATTATATCCACATTTCCAATCTCAAAAAAGCAGAGATCCATTATAAGCAGCCAAAATTTTATTTCTATTAAGAGCTATAGAATTAATCATAGATATTCTTAAAAATGTACCTTCAGGACATTTCCATACTTTAAGATTATCAGAAGTAGTTGGACAAAATGTATATTCTAATATATGAAAAGCTAAGGCTCTTACTGATTTTTTTATGATTAGTTAAACTAGATATACATTTATATGAGGTCCTATCCCATAATTTAATCATAGAATCTTAAGATCCATTTCCTATTTAAGGCTCAAATTCTTAACAAATAATTGAATCTATTGTATTTATGTGTCCTTCTAATACATGTATTTATTATCTTGCTCTTATATCCAATACTCTACATGCAGAATCTCTTTAATCACTTACTCATTTGGTTTCACAACAACTAATGATTTATTTTTTTTTTAATGTAAGTATTATTTGTTTGAGTAGCTCAAGTTTTTTCATCAAACTTTAAAAATTATTAAAGTAATTTTGATAATTTCCTTTCTTTATCTTTTATTTTTAGGCTTTTCTAATCTTTTATTTCTGTTTCAATATTCTCAAATTCTTAATTTCATTTGCAAAATTTCTAAAGAAAGTATTCCATTTTATACGATAAAATAATATAATAAATTATTTCTTGTTAATCTCATCAAGATTTTGCCCATGTGCCATGCAAGGATTTTTGAGCATCTCTGGAATAAAAGCCATTATTTCTTTAGAATATTACTCTTAAATGTTAACTAACAAAGATAATTCTATAAAGAAAGTTATTCAGAATGATTTGTAGTTAATTAATGAAGAATACTAATAATTATTATCTATTGGTGATGAAGTTGAATCCATATCAAACAAAGTTTAAATGATAATTAAATTAGTTGGAGAGTTTTTAGAGAAAAATGTCTATCATATTACCTTACTTAAGATTTATTTTTTTAAATTAGTCAAAACAGGGAAATATTGATTTTTCGTTGTCCTTGAAAGATTAATAACAAAACTTCATAAATATATTCATATTATTAGGGTATTGAACTAACTATCCTTCAAAGTCTCAATAATACTTTTAGATATTCTTTTCAGATTCAATATGATCAAATTCTAACCTTCCAACTATTTTTCTTCTTTGACTAAATATTATTTAAGGTTGAAGTATAAGCTTTCCCTTGAAAATATTTCTTTACATTAAGGAGTTTATACTTTAGTTATAATTTAACTAGATGTCCTTTTATTTTTAATTGATTTTTAACACTCTCATTTTTAGTTTTTCTATCTATGAAGCATTATCAATAAGTGTCTAAGCTAGTTAGGATGATACAGCTGAATTTGCTTTTAATTCTTGATAGAGCTAGATGTTAATACTTACTGATTTCTGGAGCAGTTAATTTTTCACCATTAATTTTTATAAATGATTAATTATTATAATAATTCATTGTTTATTATAAAATTTTAACAAATTCACTAACAAATGTTTTAACCCATTTAGAAAATTATTTAATAGATTCTACTAAGTCTTTGTAAAAATTAGAGTTGAAATTAGGAAGGCTAACATTAAAATTTGATTTGGGATTTGTAAAAGCTTTTATTGCAGCAAGGAATTTTAGCTGACTTGATACATTTGGAACAATTTAGTTTTAATTAATCTAAATTAGCCAGTTATTGAATATATAGCTCCTTTTAGTGTCTTCGATTTATATTATTTTTTTTTAATTTTGCTCAATTAAATATTTGATGCATATTAAATTGTCCTCCTTTTTTCCTTGTGTTTTTAATCTGCTGCAATGCAATTCTCGATTAGTTTTTTTCAAAATAATTTCTCTTATTCAGATAAATTGTGATTTTTAATCTTAGCAAAAATTTATAATACTTTCTAATATAATATAAGAATTTCATTTTTTTATAAAACTTTCACTGAAATGAAGTTTTATTACTATATATAATATTCAAGAATTTATTTATAAATTTTTAATAAATAAAATATATTGAATTTTTTGTTATTTAATTCATTCAAATAAATAAAATAAAAATAATAATGTCATAGTTTTGTTAATACAAAGATCATGATGAAAGTCAAATTATTAGAGCATACTTAAAAATAGATTGTAAATATTCAAGATCTTTTTGTCATCATTGTATATTAAAACATCATATTTCACATAATGATGATTTAAAAGCCTTTAAATAATTAAATGAATGGATAAAACTATAAATGGATTCATATTAAGACTTAACACAAATTATCAATGAAATTATCTAATTAAATCGAGAATTATCAAAGTTTTTAATTTCAATTAATAGAAATTAATAAATGGATTATTCATAAGTGTCACAACAGATTATGAATGATGAAATTAATAAATTAATTCAAATTTAATTAAAAGTTTTATTAATTCCTTTAAGTTTCTAAATTACATGATTTAAGTAATCTAAAGTTAGAGATTAACAGAATTAGTTAATTTTTTATTTAGTGATGCTGAAAATATAAAAATTATTCATATAGTAGAATTAGAAAAAGTTAAAATAAAAATAGCTCTTTAAGAAAATTTAGAAAAAATAACGCAGATTTGCAAATTCATGCACCTAGTACTGTATGGGAATCCACAGATTTCTGCAGCTGCCCTTATTTGCAGCCTCTAGTCTTGAGATAGAGTTCACTTACACCTTATTTCATTAGGTATCCCTTAACGAATTACTAATTAATTTTGGTTTGATATCATTTCTTTATCATTTTGTCCCGAAACATTCCTATCATTTAAAATTAATCTTTGTAATTCTAATTTTTGTAATTAAATTATATTTATTTTGTTTTGTTAAATAATTGAATTGAGATTATTATTATGATTACTTTTAATATAATCAAATAAAAACAATTATGAATAAAGGAATTAGTGTATTCTATGAATAATATATATTGATTAAGATATAATCATTAATGTTTGAAAATAGAAACTTTTTTTGACTGATATTCTTTTAAACCACAATATAAACAATTACTCATTAAATTGAGTTTTAATAGTATTATGATGATCGAAATTTAGGTGTGAATTAATAAGATATAAAATATTTAAGAAAAATGATTTAGTAAACAAATTTCAATTTAAAATGTTAACAAGAGGATCGTTAGGACAAGATAGACAAAGTTGGTTACCGCTAGTTTTGTCCAGAATTTAGATAAAACTGCTTTAAAGAAGGGAATAATCCAACATGATCATTTTGATAATGTTGAAAAAATCAACAGCTTGATTGAAAGCAAATATAAAGATTGTGATAATTTGATTGATGATCTTAATACTTACATAGAGAATATGAATCAATCATTTTCTTAATTAAAAAAGGGAATCAGATGGAAATATTCGCTATAAAGGAAAGATATAGTAAATAATTGATTACTTAAATTCAACCATCAAGCTAAAAGAGTATAAATAATCTATTGCATCAATTATTTCAGAACAGAAAAAGAAATTAACTTATTCATTTAATAATTTATGTGGATAATTATAATTATCATAATTTAAATTCTAAAAATCTATCTAAAGAATTATTTGATAAAGGTAGTTTTATTATATTAATCTTTAGGCTATGAATTAAAGAAGAAATTTAATAAAGTCTTGATTATTTATATGGGAAATAAATATGATGAGACAATATAAGTATTAGATTAATCAATACAATATAATCCTAATAACCATTTATCTCTAAGATGAGGTAAAATAATAGATAATAAATAGGTGCATGTTTATTACCTTAGTATTAATTATAAAAAATGTAAGAAATTAATAAAAAATATAAGGTTGCTATCACTTGGTTGGACAAGGCTTTAGCTATTGACTCTAAGCATTTTAATTGCTTATTTGAGAAAGATAGATTTAATCATAATCATATTATTAGGCTAATGTTTAAGAATTTTAAATTAATATGAGGAAGCAATAATAATTTGGTTAGACAAAGCATTCGCCATTAAATCTAAGCATATGAATTCCTTATTTGATAAATGTAGATTGAATTACAATTATATTAATAGGCTAATGCTTAAGATTATTGAAAAAGTGTAAGGAATCTTTAGATTAAGCTCTGTCCATCAATCCGCAACACACATTCTCTCTTTAAATAAAAGGTATCATCTAACATTAATTTGTAAGGGAACGTTTATATGAAAACACTATCAAGTTATATATAAGAGATTAATAAAATTATAAAGAAGCTCTTATTTATTATGAGAAATCATAAAGATTAATCCAAATGATCAATACTCAAAGAATTAAAAAGGTAAAAATAAATTATTTAATTAGAATTTTCCTAAAAGAAATTGAATCAATGAGCACTCTCAATATTTAAAAATATTTATAAAATTATTTTTTTTCTTATTTCATAGTAAGCCCTTTATTTTATAAAGTAAGTAAAGGTAAAAATAAATTAAAATAAAAATAAAGTAAATGCTTTATAAAGATTAAACAAATTTGAAGATATAAAAATATTATGATTATGCAATTTAAAGAAATCCTGAAGATTACTTAATATTTTTTGAAAAAGTTAAAATTTATAAGTATATAAATAAAGCAAATACATTATATCAAATAAATTGATTTACTCTGTTGTTAGTTTTTGAGACGCTTTTATTATAGTTAGTTAATTAGTATTCTACAAAGAATTCTTTTCCCACAAATTACAATTAATATGTTTAGGCATTTATTATATGATTCGTAAAATAAGCCCATCTGAAATAAATTCAGCTCTATGCCTCTTGTAATTATATAGAATTTTAACTGATTTAATTTTTTAGTATTTATAAAATTTAATTAATAATATTTAATT